AAGAGGGTTCCCGTTTCTCCACATCCTCGCCAGCATCTATAGTCTCCTGATTTGTTCATCTTGGCCACTGACTGGCGTGAGGTGATATCTGAGTGTGGTTTTGATTTGTGTTTCCCTGATGAGGAACGACGTTGAGCATCTTTTCATGTGCCTGTTGGCCATCTGGATGTCTTCTTTAGAGAAGTGTCTATTCATGTTTTCTGCCCATTTCTTCACTGGGTTATTTGTTTTCGGGTGTGGAGTTTGGTGAGCTCTTTATAGATTTTGGATACTAGAAGGGCTGCATGGCTTTCTATGGAAACTCTACCAAACATTTAAAGAAGAGTTGACACCTATTTTTTTGAAGCTGTCTAAAAAATACAAATGGAAGGAAAACTTCCAAACTCATTTTATGAGGCCAGCATTACCTTGATTCCAAAACCAAAGACCCCACTAAAAAGAACTACAGACCAATTTTTCTGATGAATATGGATGCAAAAATTATCAACAATATACTAGAAAACTGGATCCAACAGTATATTAAAAGAATTATTCACCACGATCAAGTGGGATTTATTCTTGGGATGCAAGGCTCGTTCAATATCAGCAAATCAATCAGTGTGATACATCACATTAATAAAAGAAGGATAAGAACCACATGATCCTCTCAATAGATGCACAAAAGGCATTTGAGAAAATACAGCATCCTTTCTTGATAAAAATCTCAAAACACTAGGGATAGAAGGATCATACCTCAAGTCATAAAGGCCACATATAAAAGACCCACCGCTAATATCATCCTCAATGGGGAAAAACTGAGAGCTTTCCCCTAAGGTCAGGAATACTACAAGGATGTCTACTCTCACCACTGCTCTTCAAGATAGTACTGGAAGTCCTAGCCTCAGCAATCAGAGAACAAAAGAAATAAAAGGCATCCAAATCATCAAGGAAGAAGTCAAACATTCACTCCTTTCAGATGACATGATGCTCTGCGTGAAAAACCCAAAAGACTCTACCAAAAAACTGCCAGAACTGATACATGAATTCAGCAAAATCACAGGATATAAAATCAAAGTACAGAAATAGGTTTCCTTTCTATACACCAATAATGAAGCAGAAGAAAGAGAAATGAAGGAATTGATCCCATTTACAATTGCACCCAAACCCATAGAATACCTAGGAATAAACCTAATGAAAGAGGTGAAAAATCTATACACTGAATACCATAGAAAGCTTATGAAAGAAATTGAAGAAGACACACACAAAAAAATGGAAAAACATTCCATGCTCATGGATTAGAAGAACTAATATTGTTAAAATGTCAGTATTACCCAAAGCAATCTACATATTCAATGCAATCCCTATCAAAATAACACCAGCATTCTTGACAGAGCTAGAATAAACAATCGTAATATTTGTACAAAACCAGAAAAGACCCTGAATGGCCAAAGTATTGTTGAAAAAGAAAACCAAAACCAGAACTTAAACTGTATTACAAAGCTGTAATCATCACAACAGTGTGGTACTGGCACAAAAACAGACACATAGATCAATGGAACAGAATAAACAGCCCAGAAATGGACCCACAAATGTATGGCCAGCTAATCTTTTACAAAGAAGGAAAGAATATCTAGTGGGAAAAACAGTCTCTTCAGCAAATGGTGTTGGGAAAAAGTGGACAGCAACATGCAGAAGAAAGAACCTGGACCACTTTCTTACACTATACACAAAAAATAAACTCAAAATTGATGAAAGACCTAAATGTAAGACAGGAAGCCACCAAAATCCTAGAGGAGAAAACAGGCAGCAGCCTCTTTAACCTCAGCTGCAGCAACTTCTTATTTGTCATATCTCCAGAGGCAAGGGAAACAAAAGCAAAACTGAACTATTGGGACCTCATGAAGATAAAAACCTTTTGCATGGTGAAGGACAGGAAAACTGAAAGGTAACCAATGGAATGGGAGAAGATGTTTGCAAATGACCTATCAGATAAAGGGATAGTATCTAAAATCTATAAAGAACTTACCAGACTCAACACCTAAAAAACAAATAATCCAGTGAAGAAATGGGCAAAGGACCCGCATAGACACTTTTCCCAAGAAGACATCCAGATGGCTAACAGACACATGAAAAAGGGCTCAACATCACTCATCATCAGGGAAATACAAATCAAAGCCATAATGGGATGTCATCTCATACTTGTCAGAATGGCTAACGTTAACAACTCAGGCAACAGATGTTGGTGAGGATGCAAAGAAAGGGACTCTTTAGCACTGCTGGGGGGAATGCAAACTGGTGTAGCCACTCTGGAAAACAGTATGGAGGTTCCTCAAAAAATTAAAAATAGAACTAACCTACTACCCAGCAATTTTACTACTAGGAATTTGTCCAAAGGATAAAGCAATGCTGATAGAGGGGACACATGCACCCCAATGTCTATAGCAGCACTATTAACAATAGTCAAAGTATGGAAAGAGCCCAAATGTCCATTTTAAAAAATAAATATGAAAAAAGAAAGACAATGGGCAAAATACATGAAAAACTATTTCTCCGAAGAAAATACTGGGATAGCAAATAAGCCCACGGGAAGATGCTAATCATTAACTATCAGGAAAATGCAAATTAGGGATGAAGGAAATATCACTGCACACTTATTAGAACATATATAAAAAACAATGACAATGCCAAATGCTGGTAAGGATGTAGAAAAATTGAATCTCTCATATGTCGCTATGGCTAATGTAAAATGGTACACTTTGGAACGCAATTTGACAATTTCTTTCAAACCTAACTATATAAACCATAGACCCAACCACCAAACTTCTTGGCATTTCCCAGAGAAATAAAAATATTCGTTCACATAAAAACCTGTACATGATTCTTCATAGCAACTCTATTTTTAATAGAGCTGGAAACAACCAAAATGTCCTCGTCTCCATGAATGGTTAAACAAACCCTGGTCCATTATCAGCAATAAAAAAAGGAATAAGTATCGGTATATCTAACAACTTGGGTGGATCTGAATGGCACTATGCTGAGTGGAAAAAATCAGTATCAAAAGGTATAATTTGTGATTCATTGCACAATCTTATGTCAAAAGCATAGAGATGGAGAACAGCTTAGTAATTGCCAGGGGTTCAGGGCTGCGGGGGGAGGGGAGGGGGACTTGGTATGACTACACACATGTAGCAGGAGGGAGATCGTTTTGGTCATAGTTTTGTATCTTGATTTTGGTGATGGTTACGGGAATCTATACTCGGGATAAAGACGGACTTTACACACACACTGTAGCTATGTCAAATTCCTGGTTTTGTATTGTACCTTGATTAACTAAGATGTAATCACGGGAGAAAGTAGATGAAGGATGCTTGGGACCTCTCTGTATTATCCTTGCAATTTTCTGTGGGCTGTAATTATTTTTGAAAATATAGGGAAAAAATTAAAAATCCCATTTTGCCTCGGGTAGCTGTGGCCTACATTATTTAGTCAAAGGAGAAACCGTGAGACGGTACAAACCCCAATTCTGGGTTTTACACAGAAGCATGACCTGGGGCAGAAGAAAGGCTCAGGGCTGCAGAAGGCGGGGAGCCAGAGAGAGGTTTCCCTCTCCCTGAGGATGTGGGAGGCGGCGTCTGAGCGCCTGAAGCAGGGAGGTGAGTGGCGCGCCGCCCAGTCCCAGCCCCACCCTCCGCGGGCTCCTGGAGCCCGTGCGATCCCTGCAGCAGAAGGCTGGGGAGCCGGAGGCGCGAGGACTCTGGAGCGGCGCTCCTGCATTCCCGACACCGCGGCTCCAAACCTTGAAAGGACCAAGAGAACTTTCTCTGAACTGCGAACAGTTTTGGTCAACGGGATAGCCTCCCATGCTTTGGCTTCCCGCCTCTTCATTGTGGTTCTGATCTCTCGCTGCTTTCCTTCTCGAACCTGCTAGGGTGCAATCGGGAGCCCGTCAGCGCGCCAGACGGCTGTCTGGACCTGCGAGGGTGGGAGGCGGCCGCCAGCCCTGTCCCCTCGCAGCCCCCGCCCCGCCGCGCAGCGGTGCTCGCCCGGGGTAGCTGGCTGTGCCTGGCGCTCGGGCAGCGCGCGGCATGCAGTCTCTCAACATCACCCGAGAGCAGTTCTCCAGGCTGCTACGGGACCATAACCTGACGCGCGAGCAGTTCATCGCGCGCTACGGGCTGCGGCCGCTTGTCTACACCCCGGAGCTGCCGGGGCGCGCCAAGCTGGCCTTCGTGCTCACCAGCGTGCTCATATTTGCCCTAGCGCTCTTTGGCAACGCGCTGGTGGTCTATGTGGTGACCCGCAGCAAGGCAATGCGCACCGTCACGAACATCTTCATCTGCTCCTTGGCGCTCAGCGACCTGCTCATCGCCTTCTTCTGCATCCCGGTCACCATGCTACAGAACATCTCTGACACCTGGCTGGGGGGTGAGTCCGCGAGCGCACCTTCTTCTCTAAACCCCAGTCTGCCAAGGGACTCTTCCCGCCCCCTCTATTCCTTACATTTCTGTCTCTACCAAATGAATCCAGTGCTCCTTCTTAGAACTTCCTCACTTGTGCTCACTTGGAGAGAAGTTTTTTGCCACTTTTAATTCAGCCCAACGTTTCTTTTCCTTGTCGCTTAAAGACATAGTTAGGAAAATGCCTAGGAAACGTACAAGGCAGTGAGGTGGGGAGTTGCACCTCTCTCCTGTTATTTCAACTCCTTTTTCCATAATTACCAGGATTTTCCCTATTTCCAATAAAAGTAAGATAAAAATATTTCACATAATAAAAGTCTCGATATCCGCTCTTCCTGCATACCTCTAGGCTCACTCCACAGTTGCCTCTGTGGCTTCCAAACAGGTATTTGTAGATCTAACTCTTATATGAGGATTTAAACTATATATCTATCTATCTATCTATCTATCTATCTATCTATATATATATATATATATATCTTGGAATAGTCCTTCTTTTTAAAGATTGTATTAACAGTCAAGCAGGGAGAAAGAACACAGAAAACATAACATACCCCCTGCTGACTGATAATGAAGGAGACACCGATTTGTCCTGCTTCCTTAAAAGGGGAGTGGAAATGGCAGAAAAGCCATTCAGAGTCATTGAACTGGGAGCAGTATGTTGAGGTTGAGAAAAAAATAGACACTTCACTTCCCTAAATGATTCAGTCTTTCCAGGGACACAGCTTTAGAGCATCCTTGTAATCCGTAAGCCATATTGTCTTCTATTGTCACCAGTGTTCTTGGTGTGCCTTGGGGAGGAAGCACAGGTTGTGTTGTACCCCATTGTCATGGATGGGTGCATCCTTGAGGCCTCATCAAAATTCTTAGAAAGTGGTTGGAAATACAGAGAGAATGTGAGAGAAATGTATCATTATGCCTTTAAACCCTGTCATTTCCACTCCTTTGCTACTTCCTTTAAATCTCACTGCGGGTGTTCATTTCATCCTACATTAACAATTTGAGATTTTCTTTCCCTGGCATAGCTTTTTTCCCCCATTAATTTGCATTGGATTTTATCATTAGTGGGTCAAGAGGCTAAAATCTTTGATTCCCACCTCATCTGTAATGTAAATTTTCCCAAAAACTAAACATTAGAGAACATAGCATCCACTTGAGGGTGACACAGTGCAGGAATTTGCAAACTGACTTATGGGTTATAGCCTTTCTTATGCACTCTGATGAAATCATTGTCCTTGGGCATTTTAAAGTTGCTTGGTGCAACTAACTCCGCCACATTAATGGGTAAACTTTTGGTCATCATATATAACTTATTTTTTGAGGCAATGGTACAGGAGTTTTCATTTCTGCATGTTTGTGAAGACAGATTTATGAAGCATATATGTATTGCTGGATGATTATAGCTCTGTTTGTAAAGGTAAACATAGTTAAGAAAAGTGGGATGTTATACTGGGAATTCAAAGACCTGGATTACTACTTTGGCTCTGATACATGTTGATTCAACACATCTGAGCCTCAGTTTCTCAATAAAATATTAGGAATTCTGGGAGCTTGGAAGTGGAATAAAGCAGATGTTTAGCCCCTAGCCATCCTAGGAAATCAAGCCTGGGAAAGATTATAGGGTGGATCTTCCTTTCAGAGGACTTAGGTGGGCACTGCAAAGATTTTTCTTAAACTTTCTGTTTTCCTTGCTTCCCCGTTCGTGAAGGACATTTCACTTTAGCTTCTAAATGCTGAAAAAGAGTAATACATTGGGTATGTATTTTACAGGTTAGTGTGAGGATAAATGTGTTAGTAAAAGTGCTTTGAAGCAATTTATTATTCCATGAAAGTATAAGGTATTAATTCTATTAAGGATTGTTTGATTTTAGGTGGCTTATGTTTATCTGAGACAAGATTTATAGAATAAATATTCTTATAAATCAAGTAAGTAACACCAAAATTGAAGTTCAGGGGAAAGAAGAAAGCTTGCACAGTTTCTGGAGAAAGTGATGCAAACAGATTTAACCTGTCCTTTATGGGATAGGATAATAATTGCAACACTCCTTTGATAAATTAACAAAAGAGCTTTCAAGGGAATGTAATCTAATAGTTCAAAGTTAATTCACAGTCTATTATTCCATAAAGCTATTGAGGATCTTCTTTATGGCAAAGCATTTTACCTTGGTAATACAAAAAATGAACAAAGCTTATCTAATGACTTTTGGGGCCTCAGAGAATATGAAATATCCCAGAATAAGCAAATATAGGATTTAATAGAAGAGGATCCATTCTGCTGCAAGAGCACAGAAGTCAAGAAGGCTTTACCAAGGACTTTTGAGCTAGATATTGAGGAATGATTCAGATTGTTCCTAGCAGAGGAAGAAGGTTGGAGTGTGTTCTAGGAACAGGGGTCAATCCAAAGTTTGGAGGAAAGGAAAAGGTGATGAATTCCAGGAATGCTGTGTAAGCCATTTCAAGAATATAGTTTATATGTGAGCAATGGTGAGAAATGAGACAGAAGAGTAGGCTAGTGCAAATGGGGAAGAAAAGGTATATTATCAGTTATACTACACCTAAAATACGAATACCCCTCAAATTCCTTCAGAAGTGAAATAGGAAACATAAATGGAACAGCAGAGACCACTAGGAGGAAACAGTGGAGAAGGAAGTCTGCTACCTCACCTAAAGCGGGCAGGATCCCTGCAGGCAGGGGTGTCAGATGTTCTTTGGTGGTTGTTGTAGTTACTGCCTTTTTTTTTTTTTTTTTTTTTTTTTTTTTTTTTTTTTTTTCAGAGAAGCTGGGAATATGGAATGTTATGATCTTGGCATATAATTCAAATTTAAAAGTAGAATTGTGTAAAAGAAAACCTCTCTGTGGGTTTGGCCACGAATAATTCATGAACCTCCAGTTTGTGACTTCTCAAAGCCTCCCTCTCAAACATTTCTGACAAAGGTAGAGCTATAAATGACTGTTTTTTTCTTCTTTAGTCCACTTATCTCCCTTGCTAGGGACCAATGTTACCTACTGAGTCAAAGCCTGCATTTGGACAAGATCTCCAGGTGATTCATAAGCACATGAAAATTTGAGAAGCACCACTATAAGTAATGATTTTCAGACTTGGCTGCCTAGAGAACCTCCTGAGAGACTTTGAAAATGATCTGTGCAGGCCCCAGTCCAAACTAATTACATCTGACTCTCTGGAGCCAGCTTGCACTGACTTACAGAGACCATTGTGTTCATCTTTACTCAGTTCCCCATTCAGGGACATCATATTGTTGGCTTGAAATCAGCCATGGTGGAGCTCATGGATGGCTCAGTCGGTTAAGCATCCAACTTCAGCTCAGGTCATGATCTCACCACAGTTCATGGGTTTGAGCCCCATGTCAGGCTCTGTTCTGACAGCACAGAGCCTGGAGCCTGCTTCTGTGTCTTTCTCTCTGTCCCTCCCCTGTTCACGCTCTGTCTCTCTCTCTCTCAAAAATAAATAAACATTAAAAAAAAAAAAAGAAGTCAGTCATGGTAGGAGTATTTACACTGTGGACATCAGCAGCTGCAGATCAGTTTATTTTTTAAAGAAAAAACCCCAAAACTCAAAACCATACAGTTGTCTTCCAGCATACCACTGAGCAATGCTTTGAGTTTCCATTTGTACAGTGGTGACACCATAAATGACAGGTGCAACAAATTATATCCATAAATATTTAGTTTATTTATATGATTTATACTCAATTTAGAAGGTCTTAATTCAGCATCTGAGTTTGCTCAGCATTGAGGAAAGTGTATGTTCAATCCTTCTGTATATCTGGCATTACCATCCGAATGCCAACTCTCTGTGATCAACAGTTGATTTGCTCCCACACTACTCCCCAGAACTTCCAACATGGAGCTGGTAGGAGTAGAGATTCACTTCCCCCAAGAATAGTAAATAGCATTTGCTTATGATTTTTTTAATCACTAATGTGAGGATGGGGTTTTATTGTCTTAACAATTAGGAGTCAGGCCTTGGAAGTTCTGTGTGCATTCTAGTCACCAATCTGGTTCAACTTCAGCAGTGAACTTGCCTTTTGTGTTCTTGGCACCACAGAATTTACCTATCCTTATCTGCTGGCTGTTTTTCCTCATTTTGTCTCTTTTTTTCATTCTTTAATATATTTCTTCGAAATATCTAAATGTTCCTCCAAATTTACTGACAGTATGGGGAAATTTTTTTCAACTAAATTCAGTACATTAGATTTTGCTTCTGAACAATGCTCCAGAACACTTTTCTCTCTTCTCTAGGTGTCCATAAGCTTCTCTTTTTCCTTCTTACTTTGTTTTCTATATATCAGTCTTTTTCTCTATATTCTTTCCTTCAGTGATCCTCATACTTTCTCTCATTTTTTGAGTGTGTGTCACCTGAAGCCTGGTACGCAATCTCTTTTCTTCCATTGTTCATTTCTGCATAGAGGCTACAATCAGGACTCTCCTTTTGTTGGTGATAATTCTGAAACCAGTATCTAATTATCTAATTATTGTAAGACATAATCTCTCTTATCTGTAAAGTAGGCATTTACACATGGATATCTAATTAGCATCCACCATTCTCTCACCTTACTTTGTCTCTCCGCCCAGGGTCTAAATTATTATTAATAGTACTATGAGTCATTCTTGTATTCAGCATCCTCTGAATATCTGCTGTGTGCACTGGAATATTGTAAGTGTAGAGAAAGCTGTGTCCTTGTGGAACTGCCAAGTTTCAGTTAGAGCAAGAAGGGGAAGGTGCCATTCAAAGAAAACATGGGCGAGGCAGGGGATTTTGTTGATATCAGAGATCCAGAGTGCACTATGGAGAAAGCGGGGGGGGGGGGGGGGGGGGTTGTTAGGGAATGGGACCTTGGGTCATAATGGGGATATCAAGAGCCTAGATTAGGTCCAGGGGCAAGGGATGGTCTAGGAGAATAGGACTCATGGTGACTGAGATAAAAGTGAACTTAAAACATGAAGGG